TCCCAGCATCGGCCTCCAAGGGTCACCACCCGTCCTTAGTACTCGTTCCCAGACATGCGACGTCCTAGCTTTTTCAGGACGGCATCCCTGGAAGTCCCGACCCTTTCCCCGGGACTGGTTTTTCATCCTGAGTCGTTTTTTGACGGTCCCGGGGCCCGGCGAGGGCCCCCGAGGGTCGAAAGTAGTGAAACATTTGCCGTACTGATTTTTGCTGCGACGCGAGCATGTCTGGGAGTACACGTCTTGACTGTACATCCATCCTGTCGCCGATCCCCTGCGCGAAGAGCTCGAAGAGGCCGTCGGCCTCCTGCCGGCAGGGCCCTGGCCGCCCCGACGGCCGCCGGGGATCGCGGCGGGCGCGCCGCCCGCGAGCGCCTCCGCACTGCGGGGCCCGGCGGCTCCGCGACCTCGCCGGGAGGCTGGCCGAGTCGCTCGAGCTCGCCCCGCCCGCGCAGGCTCGGGGAGCACCCCCAGACATGCTCGCGTCGCCACAAGAAAATCAAGGCGGGAGGTTTTTGACTATATGTTCGGCCCTTGGGGGCCCTCGCCGGGCCCCAGGGACCGTCAAAAAAAACGGCTCAGGACGGAAAACCGGTCCCAGGGAAAAGGGTCGGGACTTCCAGGGACGCCGTCCTGGAAAAATCAGGACGTCGCATGTCTGGGCTGGCGTTGCGATGTCTTCACAGCGGGCGCCTTCGCCCAGTTTCGGGCCCCGGCGCCCTCACAGGGATCCATCTGCCCCAGAAGGCGATGCAGACACATGGTGCCCAGGGCTCCGGCCGTGATTTTGTGCGATGCTGCAGTTTTTTTCGCGACGTCGGATCATCTCGGGGCAAGAGACGGCACAGATCGCGGGCGAAAAGCAGGTCCGTATCCGCGGCCTCGCGGGCGGGGCCCCTGGGGGCCGCGACTCCGCGGAGACGGGGCGCTGAGTTCGCGGATGCCCTGCGCGGAGCGTGCCCGTGCGACCGCGGGGCCGCGGGATCGCGCCCTGGCGGAGGCCAGACCGCGAGGGCGCGGGTATGGATATGCCCGCCTTCGCGAACAGACCTACATGTCTGGAGGTCCGCGCAGATTCTTTGGATCGGGCTTGGTACCCCCCCCCCTGACGCGCCTGGCGCTCCAGGGGAGGAGAGTCCCAGCGCCGACGCCAGAGATCCGCGCAGGCCTCTGGGAGTTTACACGGAGGGCCCGTGTCGTGTCGACGCGGCAGCGACCCCAGCGCCGGGGGTTAAGGCTGAACGCCGCCAGTGGCCCAGAGTCTGCCGACCTCGAAGGCTCCTGCGCGAATGGAGGGCCGCGATCGTTCGAGGCTGAACGATCGGCGCGGTGTCGTGAAGCACCGCGCACGTCGCCACGACACGCGCCGCGTATCTCTGCGCAGCCTTGACGTTCCACGCGAGGCGCGGGGCAGCCCCAGGGAGGAGGAGCTCGCGCTCAGGCCCCGGCCGCCGATGGATGGATCGAGGTGCGAGGTCCGAGGAGGTCGGTGCACCGTCGGCCCCGCGGAGGATCTCGGGCTCATGCCCCGGCCCGGCGACAGATCGATCGCGAGGTTCGAGGTCCGTCGATAGATCGATCGCGAGGTCCGAGGTCCGAGGAGGTTGCTGCACGATGCTCTGGCTCGGGGGCCCGTGTGTGGGGCTCCCCGGGGCCGGCCGTTCGATGCCTGCTCGCGGGAGCCGCGTGGGCGGCGGCACGGAACTCAGCTTTGCTAGCATGTGCACCACGCTTGGCACCGCCTGTGGCCGCCTGTGGCCCTTCCTCCTGCGCCTCCTCGCCCCTCGCCCCTCCTGCTCCTCCTCCCCCTACTCGTTCTTCTCGTGTCCCTTGGGAAGGGGCGGATCTGGTGTCCAAAATCTGGTTTCAAATCTATGCCAAAGCCGGTCCAGATCAGGCCCAGATCGGACAGCGCCGGGGGCCACCCAGGCTCCCATAGAACGGACACCAAACGCAGAAGGGATCGGGGACATCCTTGCCAAACAACGCAAGGTTTCGATGCCAAGGGCCCTTCACCCACCGATCAGTGATGTCTACGTGGTCGATTCTAGCAGGGTGCGCCCCCTCGCCCCCCCGTTGCGCCAGCCCCCCCCCTAATTATCTTGCGCCAGCCCCCTCCCCCCTCCCCAGACATCCGACGCTGTGATTTGTGTTCACGACTTCGACCCCCCGGACCCATTCTCCGGGACAAGTTTCTCACCCTCAGTCGTTGTTCGACGGTCCCAGGGCGGCCAGGCGAGGGCCCTCGGAGCCCGAAGTCGGCAGACGCCGCCCGCCGTGATTTTTGCTCATGGCCCCAGTGGAGCTCTGGGTCTCTGGAGGCGGCGTGAGACGTGGCAGCGGCCAGGCTCTTCCATCTTCAGCCTTGGGCTGCCTCCTCGGGGCCCAACTGGGCCGCAGAAGGCGCCCCTCGTGATTTGCTCATGACCCCCATGGGGGTCTGGGTCTTTGGAGGCGGCGTGAGACGTGGCGGCGGCCAGGCTCTTCCATCTTCAGCCTGGGGATGCCTCCTCGGGGCCCAATTGGGCCGCAGAAGACCAGCCCTGGAGGTTCGAGGTCGAGAGTGGCTTTTCAATCCCCGGCGGTTCGAGGTTCGAGGTCGAGCCCCGAAGGTTCGAGGTTTTTCAATCTTCAGCCTTGGGATGCCTCCTCGGGGCCCAACTGGGCCGCAGAAGACCAGCCCCGGAGGCTCGAGGCCGAGCATGCAGGGGGCCCAGCGCCGCGTGAGCCACAGGGGCGTCGGCGGTCTGGCCGTCGAGTTTACCGTCGAAGTGAGAATCCGTACAACAAGCGTTGGCGTCCCAGCTCCGTAGCTCGCCCACGGCTCGATCAAGTAGAGAAAGGCGAGCCTTCATCTCTCGACATCTGCGCAGTAGGAATCGCATTTTCAGTCTCAGCTCTGGTAGCAGACCGATCTCAGACGTCTCGATACAGTAGGCGAATATTCCTGATCATTGCCTGGGGAGCCACTGCGCGTGACTCCCCTCCCCGGATGTAGTCTTGAACAAGCTTTCCTAGAGAAGCGGGGCTTGGCAAAGCTGGAGCGCATCATCCCAGACGCAACACCTGCCAGCGCTCAGGCACTTCGTCATGAACTGGCTCTCCCGGGAGAAATGGGCCCATGAAAAACCCTGAACTCAACGTCCTGAGCGAAACAAGTGCCGACGCTCAGGTCAGGAGGTCGGGGGGGGACCCCGAGATCCGACGTTGCAAAAAGAATTGCAACATCGCAAAAAAAACACGCCCAGAGCCCCCCACCGCATCTTTCTGCGCCATTTTCCGAGCCGGATCGATCTGTGAGGGTCCCGGGGCCCGAAATAGAAATCGAGCTAAAACCCCCGTGGTGAGAAAAAGGCAACGCCAGGATCCCAGGGAAGCCTGGTTCTTTCCAGTTCCGTCGCTCGTATTGCAGAGTTCGTTCGGCCGCACGAGCAGCGGCGGCTGCCGGCAGCCGCTGCTGCGGCGGCGCCCCGGCCGTCCGGCCGGGGCTCCGAGAGTGGCACTGCTGTCCTGTGCGCGCGGGCAGCAGCAGAAGCACGGGGAGGGGGGGCGGCGGGCGGCCTCGGCTCGAGGGAGAAGACGACGGGGGCGCAGCACGAGCAGGTGGGGCAGGAGGAGGAGGAGGAGGAGGAGGAGGAGGAGGAGGAGGAAGAGGAAGAGGAGGAGGAGGAGGTGGGGCAGGAGGAGGAGGAGGAGGAGGTGGGGCAAGAGGAGGAGGAGGAGGAGGAGGAGGAGGAGGAGGAGGAGGAGGAGGAGAAGGGAGACCAGATCCGGGAGCCTGCTCGGACACGAGGCGGAGAGCAGCTGCAGCAGCAGGATCCGAAGCAGGAGCAGCGGCGGCGGAGACACGAGACTGTCGTTTTCGTGCCGTCTCTGCTCTTCCGCAAGTCTTGGCCAGCGGCCACAGCAGAAGCTGCCTCCGCACCTGAGGCGCGAAGCGTAGAAGCCGCCCGGGTCGGGCCCCGCCTCTGTCTGCCTCCGCGGCCGCGCTCCTCCTCCGACATCCTCCAGGGTCGCCGGAGTTCAGAGATCCCCGATTTGTTTTCGCCCGATGGTATCCTCGGCCTGGTTTCGTCTTGTGTGATCGTGTGTTTCCTGGAAGTCCCCAGGGAGGAAGGTTTTCACTGGCCGACCTATCGTACTCCACGACCCGCCTCTTCACCCGTGCTGCTACCAGGGTGTCTTGCTGGGGTATATGCTTGTGTATCCTCCGGCGCGTAACGGTCGCTGCCCATGCCAAGCCACCCCCCCCCGGGCAACAGCAACGATCGTACGCCGCCCGCCCTGGACAGCGCGCTCTCTCACCCCCTGAGCCTGCCTTTGCGCGCAAGGCCTGCTGCTCCCCCCGCCTCCCCGGGCATCCGGCGTCGCTTCCCAGACGGGGGCACCCCGCCCTCTCGACCGCCTTCCCCGGGACCCAGCATCTCAGCTCGAGGCGTTTCCTGACGGCCCCGAGGCCCAGCACAGTTTCTGCGCTGAGAGGCCGACACCGCCGAAGAGCCTCCGCCCCGATGCTCTCTCGATGCGCCCAGAAATTGTCTGTGCCCGCCCTCTGCTTCGGATGCAACGCCTCCGCAGTCCAGCTTGATCCGGCTGGTTCCCGCCTCATATCTGGTTTGATCCCGTCTGATTCGGCTTCATCCCGCTCAATCCGCGGCCTCATGTGGCGCAGCATACTCTAATGAGGCTCAAGTTGCTTTACTCCTTCCGACGAAGACCTCCCAGCGCTTGCCTCCGAACTCACCGCCCACGAAACCACCCCAACCCAACCCGAAGGCCTCATTTTGCAATCCATTTCCAGTGTGGGGTGGTCGGGGAACATTGAGAAACCACATATGGAACTCGTACACCTCCCAACTCGAAATTCGGGTCTTCGGGTTGGGTTGGGGTGGTCTGGTAGGCAGTCAACTTAATGTTCTTTAATCCTTCCGGCGAAGACCTCCCAGTAACTAGTTGCCTCTTAGCGTTGCCTGTCGAGGCTGGCGGACGAGCTGACGAGCATGACCTCCCTGATGTCCACGGTCACGCGGGGGGATGGGGCCTTCCTCTTTTTCGTCACGAGGGACGCGAGGGAAGAAGCGGGAAGGAGGAGGAGGAGGCGGAGGAGGAGGAGGAGGAGCAGCAGGAGGAGGAGGAGGCGGATGAGGAGGAGGAGGAGGAGGAGGAGGATGAGAAGAGGAGGGAGGAGAGGAGGAGGAGAGGAGGAGGAGGAGGAGGAGGAGGAGGAGGAGGAGGGCCGCTCGGCGTCCGCCGCTTGACGGTGAGAGGGGCGCCCAGTGGCCCGCCGGGGGGCGCGCTCCCCGGGAGGGCCGCGCGCGTCCTGCGCGGGCCCGCAGGCAGGTGAGGCGCTGGGCCGTGGGCTCCCGAGCGGGCGCCACGGCAGGGGGGGTGCTCCTGACGGCGGCGAGCCAGGGGGGGGGGGAGGAGGAGTTTCGGGCTCGAGGTTCGAGGTTTTCCTGCGTCTTCTCGTCGGTTCTCGACGCTTCCCCAGCCTCCGGAGGCGTTCCAGCGGCCTGCGCCTCGCCGAGGGCGTCCTGGGGGGGGCCCAGATCGCCCCGAGCGGCGGCGAGCGGAGGAGGGGGGAGTTGAGAAGGGGCGGACCTTCTCAGAAGGCTCGGAAGCCCCCTGGCCTCCTGAGAACCCCGAGGACGCAGGCAATTTCTCAGAAGGCCCGAGCGCTTCTGAGAAGCCCCGCCGCCATCTGGTGACGCCTTCTCCTTCTCGCGGCCCCCCCTCGCCCGCCGCCGATCCAGGGGGGGACGAGCACTGGCGTAAACGTCAAAGCTCGGAGGTCCGCGCGGGCTTTTCCGGATCGGCTCATCGGACTTCTCGGAGCCGCGAGGACTGGCGATATATCTTAGGTGTGTGTGTGTATGTGTGTGTGTGCCATTGGTCCTTCCCCTAGTAGATGCCACCCTGAAGCCGTCGACGTCGCGTGGGGCAGAAATAGGCATAAAAGCTCGGAGGTCCGCGCGGGTTCCTCGGATCGGCGCTGGGGCCCCCTGGCGGCGCCTCTGGTGCAGCCCCTGGCGCGCTTCGCGCGCCAGGGATGGGTGTCCAGCCCCGATCCGAGACATCCGCGCGGACCTCCGAAATTTCATGTTCATGTCATTGTTCGTTCCCCTAGCTGCTCCCCCCCATATCGATGTCGTGGGGGGGGGCGGGCGGACAGCAGGAAACCAGACACACCTGGCATTGCCGGCCTGGGCGAGAGCGCACATGTGGGGCGCTTGAAGAGCTTGCCTTCGAGGATCGAAGGGGTTGTCATCTCTTCCGCGGCGGACGGCGGCGGAAGGTCGGCGGAAGCAGAACGAGGCCGCCTCCGCGGGCGGAAGCCGAGGGGAGGGCACGGAAGGCGGCGCGGAAGCAGAAGATGCGCCCCCACGAGATAAAATAACAAAAATAACAAAAAACGAAACACATAAAAGAAAAACTTGTTTGGATTAAGGGTTCTCGAAATCCGCCATGTGGCCAGATGTCTCTCCATCGATCGGGCGTTCTGCGGCCCGGCAGGCAGGGCTGCCACATGCGTGTCCAGCCCGTGGCCAGCCAGGATGCTCCGCACGTGAGTCCAGCCAGGTCTGCCTTCGGTCCCCTGGCACGCAGCCCCGTCCCCATCCTTACCTTCGGATGCAACTCCTGGGAGGTCAACTTCTGAGTTTGCCCTGGCCCGATCTCCGGCTTCGTCTGGCTGAATCCCTCTTAATCTGGCTTGCTCCCGAGGATCGGATGCAACTCCTGGGGGGGCAAAGTCTGACTTTGCCCTGGTCCGACATCCGGCTTACTCTGGCTTGATCCCGCTGAACCCGGCTTACTCCCAAGGTTTGGATGCAACTCTTGGGAGGTCAAAGTTTGATTTTGCCCTGGTCCGATGTCCGGCTCAATCCGGCTAGATCCCGCGCGCTCTGGCTTAACCCCGCTTGATCCACCTTGAGCCCGCTTCGCCCGCGGCCTCCTCATCCGGCGTAGCAGCCGGGGGCTTCATCCTTCCTCTGATCCCTCCGACGAAGACGTCCCAGTAGTTACCTCCTGACCAGGAGGAGGACGATGATGATGATGAGGAGGAGGAGAAGGAGGACGAGGAGGAGGAGGAGGAGGGGGAGGAGGAAGAGGGGGAGGAGGAGGAAGAGGAGGAGGAGGAGGAGGAGGAGGAGGATGAGGAGGAGAAGGAGGAGGAGGACGACGACGACGACGACGACGAGGACGAGGACGAGGAGGAGGAGCTGAGCAGGAACTCTCGGGCCGCATCTGCCCCGTGCTGGGCGCGTGCCCCCGGCGCCCTGCATGTGCGGGCAGTATATAGCGGCCGTCACGAGCTCCCTCACGGCGCCAGGCCCTCCGGGGGCTCCGCGGGGCGCCTCGTGCGGCACCGTGCGGGGCGTACTCCTGGCAGCGAGCGCGCCGGCAGCGCTCGGGGCTCCAGAGGCGGGGGGTCAGAGGGGGCAAAGGTACCTTGCAGCCACCTTATACCCGCGTTTTCCCTTTCTGGGGGGCTTCCTGGGCGGCCCTCGGCGCCACCGCTGGATTCTCCTCGAGCTTCTGGTCATAGCGCACCCGGTACACCTCCGGGTTACCCCGTAATTCAAAGGGGGTCCGCCAGAGCGCCGAATTGTGCAGAATCTCGCAGAGCCACGGGCGCACTGACCCGGGCTTGGGCGCAGGATCCTGCAGGATTGCCGCAAAATCCTGCAGGATCCTGCAAGGCCTGGCTGACCCGGGCTTGCAGGGACCCGGATCAGTAGATCCCCGAAGCGCACGGGAGATTAGGCAGGAGGGCGGCGGGGAGAAGTCGGCGCGTTTCTCACGTGGGTCGGCGCAGGAGGGCCGCAGGGGAACGCCACCCTCTCGAGTCGATCGGTGTCTCCCCGTCTACAGACGGGCCGAGGTTCCGAGCGTGAGTGACCTGCCCCGCTTTCGCTTCCAGGCAAAACCAGGTCATACCACGCGCCTCCTCGTCAAGCGGCCTGACCAGTACAGGCCGTAGTTTGGCATCGCTTGGTATCCCTTGGAAGCGAGGGTGGTCAAAAGCGAGGTAGGTTTTTATTTGCCCCCTCGAGGTATGCGATCGAGTTCGGCTCGGGAAGGGCACCCTAACGTGATTCGTGGTGCGTGTTGGATGCTCTCGTGCATCCTGGGGAGGGTACTCCAGATTTCGTAATAAAGGGAGGGGGGTCTCATTTCGGGGGGGGGTCTCTTCCAGGCTATCTTGGAGGGCCTGGGGGGGTCTGGGGACGATGTTTTGGAGGGTTCTCCCACGGGGGGGGTCTGAAATGGCTTGTCTTGGAGGGTCCAGACCCCCTCCCTTTTATTACGAAATCTGGAGTACCCTTGAATTGTCTGTGTGTGTGTGTGTGTTTTGGCCAGCGGAGGGTCTCATGTTCTTGCAGGATGTTCTTCTGTCCTAGATCCGACTGTACTCAGCACCTGTCGTATGAGAATCGCGGGTGCTGGATGATTCGAGGGGGAGCTGCGTCGGCTGGTTGGTGCAAGAGACGTCTTGCCCGCCCGTTGGAGCGCTCATCAGCCAGATGTCTGCGACAGCATGCCTGCAACGGGATGGCGGCAATGATTGCACTGGAGGCGAACATCGTGCGACGGCATGCTTGCGGCAGCAATGAGGTCACTGAGTGCAATGCTTTGGGCTCTAGGCCTCCTGGCTGGGGTCGGAGTAGATGGGGTCGGAGGATCGCGCCGCATCGCCGATGCATCGCCGATGCGGCTCGATGTGGAGCCCGATTTGCTTCACGTCGACGTCGCCGATGTATCGCCGACGTCGACGGTGCATCGCTGGTGCGTCGTCGATGCATCGCCGATGCATCGGCGATGCAGCGCGATCCCCCGACCACACTCACTCCGACCCCATCTAGGATCTAGGAGGCCTCTGTTGGCGGTAATGTAGGGAAGCAGACTTTTTTGTTCCTCGAGACTGGGGTTCAGTCGGGCCTGTCCCTCTACACTCGGAAGGCTCAAAAATAAGCAAGAATAATAATAATAATAGTAATAATGATCTGGGGACGATGATTGGGCATTTTTTGTTGTTTTGTGCTATGTTTCCTTTAAAAAGCGCGTCCACAATCCGCCTGCAGGGGGCCATGCCCGTTCGAAGGCTGGGGCCATCCGTTCCGCGGGAGGTTCAGAGCGACGTGGTGCAGCTGGAGCAGCGGGTGCACCTCGTGGAGCTGCAGTGCGACAGCAGGCCCCTGGTACCGGGTGGGGGGGGGGGTTCCGACGGGTTTCAACGGCGATGTGGGCAACGCGGCGATGCAGGTTTCGGTAGTGTGGGCTCGCGCGGCTCGCGCTTTCCTACACCTCGTTGTGTCGCCGTCGCTCGATCCAGAGTGCTCGCCCTCCTCTCCCCCCGCGGCCGCCTTGCCCTTCTTTTTCCCCTCGTCCTGCATGGCGGCCAGTTCGCTTTGTGTTACCCCTGCATCGCTGCCACGCTGGAGCGGATGGTCCCGCCTCGCCGCCGACGACAAAAGCTCGCTCGACCCACTCGCAGATAGGACATGCTGAACTGCAGGAACGCGTGGTTCGCGATGTCCTACACTACGGCTCCCAACGTCGCCGTTGAGCAGCATCGCGGGGGCTCTTCGCCCTCGCGCGCGCAGCGCCGTCGCGCGGGGAAGGCCGCAGGCCAGGCTGCGAGACCGGGAGGGGGTTCAGCGCTGTGTTCGGCCCCCGGGGGCGCTCGCCGGGCGTCGTGGCCGTCAAAAAATGGCTCGGGCTTGGTTCCATGCCTCCCAGATCCCAGACCCCGTCGAGTCGTGCACAAAAAGGCGAAGGAAGGTGTTTCACCAGTTTCGGCCTCTGGGGGCCCTCACCGGGCCTCGGGACCGTCGAAAACGGCTCACGATGAGAAAGCAGTCCCATGGAAAGGGTTGGCGGCGCGCCTGCGGGGGGGAGGGGGAGGGGGGAAGGCTTCTTAGAAGCACCCCCGCTTCTTAGAAGGCGCGGGCCGTCTCTGCAAATGTGAGGCCGGACCCTGCTCAGAAGCGGCCTCCTTCTAATAAGCCTTCCCCCCTCCCCCTCCCCCCCCTCTGCGCGCCGCCAACTCTGAGGGTGGACGTTGCGAGCAGAATCGCGACGCCGAGGGGGTCTGGGTACAGTCGGCCCTCGACCATGCCAAATCAAGGGTGCCCTTGTTTCCTGTGTCTCGCGACCCATGCTTCCTGCATTCCTGTGGCAATGTGGCCCTCGGAAGGGTCTTGTGTCCCCTCGCGTGTTCCCTCCAATCAAGTCCGGCGGTAGAGGGAAACAATTACTGAACACTCCCCCTCCCCCCCAACCTCACCGCTGGCACGCGCGGGGGAGACTGCGGTCGACGTGCATCTCATCAGACCCACCGCCAGCTTTGAACATTGGTGGGAGGGGGAGCCGTTGACAGATGAATGTGGCGTGACTGTTCGCCAATCTGTTCCGAGGCCTGGACTGTATGGCTCGTGGGCAGGCTGCTGCGTCCCTTCGCCGCCTCCTCCGCGGGTGCTGGGACGAGGGCGTGCCACTGGCCTCTCGGCACGCCCCGCGCAGTGCGTGGTCTCTGCCGGCAGTGCCTTTTTGTGGTGCTGCCGGCTCCCGCCGCAGGGTGCCGCGAGAGCACGCCGACGTGGACTGCGCTCGAGATTAGCTGCCCAGACCCCCTCGAGTCAAGACACAACCACGACGGGGAGTTGTCCGCCAGTTTCAGCCTCCGGGGGCCCCTGCCGGGCCTCGGGACCCTGCACAAACGGCTCGGGACGAAAAAAACCTGCTCCCGGGGAATGGGTCGAGAGCTCTGGGGGTCGACGTCATGCAACAAAATCGTGACGTCGGGGGTCTAGGTGGTCTACATCCCCAGTGCACGCGACAACACGGTACCTTGCCCCCAGTTCTGCCTGTGCGCCTTCCTGCCTCTTGGGCGCTCCGGCCCCGCCTCGCTCAGTCCCCGCGCGTGGCGTGGACACTCGTGGGGGCACTGTCGCTGTCACTGTCGCCGTCAGGCGCAGACAGGCGTGCAGCGCGGGCTGCCCAGGGGCGTGCGCCCACAAGGGGAGCCGAGAGCAAGTTGTCCACGGGCGGCCTTCGCCGCAGGGGCCCACTGGAAGACCATTGTCGCGTGGTCGAAGCTTCGGGTTGTGCCCGCCTCCCTCCTGTTCTGTCACTGGGGGAAGGAGGTCGTGGCGACAACGACGGGGCAGTGGTAGTGAGGGGGTGTTGCGTGGGGGTCGTCGATGGGCGGGTCCCTACGCCGCAAAAAAGTTGAAACACAGTGAATGATCAAAGCTGGAGCCCCAGAATGCTCTGTGATGGTCCTGGGTACAGAAACTGCGCTAAAACGCCCAGCGTGAAAAAGTGCAGCGCCCCGATCTCAGGGATGGGTGGGCGTTGCGGGAGGCATTTCCCCCCACAACGCCCACCCAGCCTCTGTTCGTCTGGCCTCCGCCCCCCCCGTCCGACGCGGGGGCGAAGGCCAGACGAGCAGGGAGTTGGGGCATGTGCGGGTCAGTGGGTCCAGCTCCCCAGCCGACCAACGGCCTGCCCCGCCCCACTGCCCGGCGCAGCCTCTCGCACGGGCGCGCACACTCTCTCCTCGGCAGCGCCGGTCGGCGGTCGCAGGCGCGGGGGTCGTTCCCGGCGGGCCGCGCCCGCGCGTACACGCAACACAGCAGCAGCAGCAGCAGCAGCAACTGCAACGGCAATCATTTTGATATTGTTCGCTCTTGCCTGCTCGCGTGCCGTCATCACGTACATCCCAAATCCTCGGTACCCGCCCTCTTCGTCGTCGATCGTACCCCTCTGCGGGTATAGCTTCCGTACCTGCCGCGCGTCTTCTGGCGCAGCCCCTGAAACAGGGGAAGAGACGACGGATGGAAGGGGGGAGGGAGAAGGCTGAAGCACGGGTCTCGCAGCAGGGGGGCTAGGAGCAGAAAACACGTGGCAGAACCAGACGGGCCCATCGGGCGGGTAGACCCTGACGGGCGGGTCGGGAAGGCGGGCCCAAGCGGCCAGGTCGAGAAGGCGTGCTGATGAAGCGTGAGTGCTGCATGAATCGCGAGGAGAGCTCGAGCGATAGCGCGATTTCCAGGTAAATCATGAGAAAGGCACAAGAAGCAGCGTGACTCCTGAATGTCGAGGGCGCGGCGTCTGAGCAATTGCGCGGAAGTCCCACGCGAGAGGGCAACTCCTGCATATGTTGTGAGGACGTCCCGCGTGGGAGCGCGATTTTGGAATACACTGTGAGGAAGTACCAGGCGGTCAACAACACAGTTTGGTGACGCCGCATGTCCCCCTATAACAAACTGGGTGCGAGCCCCGAGGCGGGCATGCCGATCGAAACAACAACAATGGTTACTGGAGGGGGGGAGCAGCAACAATCATTCTTTAGAAATGAGAGCTTACCCGCAGCAGGAGCAACACTAATAACAATATATGTATACATATATATATATATATGTAAATATATGTATACACATATATATATACATAAACATACGTTCGTGAACAGAATGAGCAAGCGTGGGCAGACACATCCAGCAACAGCAACGATAATAATATTCGCAATCGCACGTACACCTGCGCTGATCTTGGATGTGTCAACATGTGACGCCGCAGACGTATTCATATATATATATATACGCATATATGAATCAGAGATGTCTGTGCGCTCTGACCCTCGGACAGCAATTTGCATTGCCAATCCACCCCTCGGGGTGTCATGGGGTTTCGTGGGGGCTGCTTGGGAAGCCTATTCAGGGCCGCCTCGACCGTCTTGGAGGCTCCTTGTGTTTTGTCTCGAGCTTTACGATGCCTTCTATAAGACCATCTTGGCGGTGGTATGGACCATCTAGGGCCGCCCGTGGCTGAATTGGCGCACGACCCCCCGGAGCCCAATACCCGACCCCCCGAGTCTTAGCCGCAACATCAGCACAGACCCCAAGCCCATGATCCCGACGCAGCTCTGATTCCCACGTAGGTCTCGAAGCGGACCTTTCCACGACCACTCCAGGCCACCGCCCCAACCACTGTCCCAAACCCTGAAGGCCGCGCCTCGAGCCCAGGCCCTCGCCTTTACGCGAATACTTCCTGATCTCGCATCTTCTGCAGCGGCCACCGTGAACTCGAAGTCATGCGATCTCAACGGGTCTGCGATGCTGTTCCCTTGATGAGTGCCCTAGCTGGCAACACCGGTAGAACTTGCGAGCTGCCAAGTCGCGCGATGTTTCCTCTGCGCTTCAATAAAAGAAATTAAACACGCGAGGCACCCTTGCGAGAAATCAACATGGGGCGGCGGATCGCATGGATGTCGGCCTATCCCGCCATCGTGCCCAGGTTGTGAGCCGTAGGTCTCTTGGATGTTCGTCGAGAAGTCGCGAGAGGCCTCTCGTGGGCCTCGCGGTGGCAGTTGTGAAGCCTCTTGGGGTTAATTTGGAGCCTATTAGGATGTCCCGGAGGCCTCCTAGAGGAGGTCTGGGGGCCTTTGGGGGCCTCCTGGTGGCATCTTGGGACGGAAAGCTCGAACTGTCGATTCGGGCTCCCACTTTTGGGCCCCGCTTGGGCCGTCTTGGGGCTCCCGCTGGGGCCGTCTTGGGCGCCTCTTGGGCTGTATTGGTGGGGCCGTGTTGGGGTATGTCTTTGAGCGTCGGTATCGTCAAAATCCGAGAGTTCAAACAAATCTTGAAAACTTGAACAAATCTATACTTCGGGCCTCTCGTAGCCCTCTTGGCACGGTTTTTGGAGCTCTTGTTGGGCGTCTCGAAGACTTCTTGGGCCATCCTGGAGCCACCTTGAGCGTCTTGGAGCGACCGGGCAGCGACCCGGAGCACCTTTGGACCGTCTGGGCGAGCTCTCGGAGGTATCTTGGCCCGTCTTGCTCCCTGAAACATCATGCGCCACCACTCGGGGGAGCCCGGTTGATCCGAGCCAAGCTCCAGGGGATTTGAGAGTCTGGGGTCTTGGCCCCTTGAAGGCCGAGGCTCTGGGGATCGAGCAAGTGACCTCAGAAAACTCCAACTCGTGCCCGAGGGCACGGTGGCAGATATTATATGCAGATCTTGATGGCGGGTGGGCAAAGACGGTACCACACATCTTGCTATGATGACAGACGTAGAGGGAAAAGGCACCGACAATTGTATTTACCTACCAAAAGCACACTCAAAACCAACAGGAGCTGGGTGGTGTAACATGGGAGAGGGAGAGAAATACAGAACAAGAGAGAGGGACAGAGAGCTAGAGAGAGAGAGAGAGAGAGCGAGACTGACGGGAATGACACGAAGGAAGACATGGAGGAAGAGAGGAAAAGAGAGAGGGAGAAAGAGAGAGAGAGAGAGCAGTGCAAGGAGCAGTGGCAAGAGCGGGAACAGGAGAGGGAGAGGGAGAGAGAGAGAGAGAGAGAGAGGGAGAGAGAGAGAGAGAGAGGGAAGAGGAGCATGTTGCTTGCACTGTCTGCCCCGCGACTCTGCTTGCCGCTGCACGCCCAGCACCCCCCTGCAGAATCGCCCTCCCAGGACCGACGCCGGCCACACTTCGCCTCTCCGTGCCATGAAGGAGGAGATCCTGGAGGAGATCCGAGGGATCGGTTCTCAGAGCCCCGAAGCATCAGGGGCAACTCGGGTCAGGGTCAACTCGGGTTCCTCTTTCGGGAATCCGAACCCGAGTTACCCCGGATAATTCGGGCGTCCAGAGCCCCACATCATCAGGGGTAACTCGGGTCAGGGCTAACTCGGGCTCCTTTTACGGGAATCCAAACCCGAGTTACCCCGGACCCGAGTTACCCCGGACAACTCGGGCGCCCAAGGTTCCAAGTTGGGCGAGCCTGCCGCAGCGGTCGAGGAGCTCCGCGCAGTGGGCGCCAGGCTGAGCGACCCCGGCGCAGCGCTGGAGGAGATCAGGGCCAGGCTTGCCGAGCGCAGCCCCGCTCTGGAGGAGATCAATGCGAAGCTGGCCGAGCAGGCCCCCGCCCTGGAGGACGTCAAACAGCGCATGGCGGACCTGAAGTCGGGCCTCGTTCTCGAGGAAATCCGTGCCGTCAGTGCTAGGATGGTTGACCCCACTGCAGCGCTGGATGATATTAGGAGCAGGCTGACTAGCTCCTCCGCGGCGCTGGAGGAGATGAAGGGCAAGCTTGCCGCGCACGCTCCTGCGCTGGAGGACGTCAGGAAGAGCATGGCGGACATGAATGTTGGCCTTATTCTGGAAGAAGTCCGCGCCGTCGATGCCAAGATTGCAGATCCCTCTGCAACGCTGGATGACATTAAGAGCAAGCTGGACATGGGCACTGGCTCTATCCTCCAGGAGATCCGCATTGCCAACGCCAGGCTGACCGACCCCACTACAGCGCTGGATGAGATCAAGACCAGGCTGACTAATTCCGCGGTGGCGCTGGAGGAGATGAAGGGGACGCTTACTGAGCACGCCCCGGCGCTGGAGGACATCAGGAAAAGCATGGCGGACATGAATGTTGGCCTTATTCTGGAAGAAGTCCGTGCTGCCAATGCCAAGATTGCAGATCCCTCTGCAACGCTGGATGACATTAAGAGCAAGCTGGACATGGGCACTGGCTCTATCCTCCAGGAGATCCGCATTGCCAACGCCAGGCTGACCGACCCCACTACAGCGCTGGATGAGATCAAGACCAGGCTGACTAATTCCGCGGTGGCGCTGGAGGAGATGAAGGGGACGCTTACTGAGCACGCCCCGGCGCTGGAGGACATCAGAAAGAGCATGGCGGACATGAATGTTGGCCTTATTCTGGAAGAAGTCCGTGCTGCCAATGCCAAGGTTGCAGATCCCTCTGCAACGCTGGATGACATTAAGAGCAAGCTGGACATGGGCACTGGCTCTATCCTCCAGGAGATCCGCATTGCCAACGCCAGGCTGACCGACTCCACCTCAGCATTGGAGGCGATCAGGGCCAGGCTGACCGAGCACGGCCCTGCGCTGGAGGACATCAGCAAGAGCATTGCAGAAGTGGGCGCCCGCCCCCTCCTGGAGGAGATCCGCGCCATCGGCGCCAGGCTGGTCGACCCCACCGCGGCGCTGGCCGAGATCCGGGCCGGGCAGGCCGAGCACGGCAACACGCTGGAGGAGATCAGGAGGGGCGTTCAGCTCATGGACCCGATACTCGAGGACCTCCGCAACGGCCAGGCGGAGTGGGCAACGTCCTCCTCCTCCCTCCTCCTCCTCCTCCTCCTCCTCCTCCTCCTCCTCCTCCTCCTCCTCCTCATTCTCCTCCTCCTCCTCCTCCTCCTCCTCCTTTCGGGGGAGATGCATCGACACCAAAGCGCCCATTCATCGCCGATAGGGGCCCGGTGGCCCACCCCGCCTAGGGAACGTGCGGATTCCTCATCGGGGGCATATGGCCGATCTGTCGGCAACGTTTCGCCGGTTCCAGATTGGTGTCTTCCCCCCCCCCCTGAGCCGGCGAGCTGGTCCCCACCCTTACGTTGCCACTCACAGGCGGAGTGGGCGGTTGAGCCTATCCTGACGGAGTTGCGCAGCGTGTCGGCCTCGCTGCGGGGGGAGCTCAAGCTGGGCATCGAGATCTCGGACATGAGCTTGGTGCTAGAAGAGATCCGGAAGAGTCGAGTCAAGGACTCCTCCTCGACCCCCCTCCTCCTCTGCCTCCTTCTCCTCCTCGACCTCCTCCTCCTCCTCCTCCTCCTCCTCCTCCTCCTCCTCCACATCGTCCTCCTCCTCCTCGACATCCTCCTCCTCCTCCTAGACCTCCTCCTCGTCCTCCTCCTCGTCCCCTCGACGTCCTCCCCGGGGAGGACGACCTGGAGGCGGTCATGCACGAGGTCCGCGCCATCGGCGCACGGGCCGCGGAGACCTCCCCCGCGCTGGAGCAGATGCAGAGGCACGTGGAGCGCCTGGACCTCGGTCGTCGGGGCCTGGCCGCCTGCACCGGGCGGGCGGAGGGAGGGGCAGGGGAGCGCCGCGGGGGGCAAGGGCGGGGAGGAAGTGGGCGAGGCGAGGGAGGGGCCGAAGGCAAGCTGGACGCGCTGGCGTCATCTATATATATATATATATATATATGACCTCCCGCCCCGCCTGCCCATCCCTGCCCGGTGCGCCGATTTGTCCCTCCCCTTCTCCATCCCTGCCCCTCGTCCGCACACCTGGCCTCCTGCCCTCCCCTTCTCCGGCCGCCGACGGGTGTCACAGCGGACCTGGGGCCTGCCCAGGGGCCACATCGCGCTATGAGCAAGCAGGAAAGGGGAGCTGCGTACAGCGAGCCCGCACAAGGGTACCCTTGCGTCCTTGCCTCCTCGGTCCATCCTTGGCCACTTTCGTTGGCCGCGCCCCGCCCGAAAACCTTCGAAACGGCCTTCCGAGGCCCTTGCATCCTCATCGTGCATCCTCATGATACGCGTCGACTGTACATTTGGGGAGGAGGGGGCGGAGGAGCAGGAGGGTGGGCAGGCGTGATCGGAGGATGAGGGCGGAGGAGGGCGAGGAGCAGCAGCAGCAGCCGGAGCGGGAGGCGAATAGAGCGGGGGCCCGACGGCGAGGGGGAGGCGGGGGAGGGGAGAGGACCCGGCCGACGACGGTGAGGAAGGATTGCCATTGAAGGTACAAATCCCCTAGCTGAAGACGTGGCCTCAATGAGGTCCCCATCTTCGCATTCAGGATAATAGATCTGGAAATATGGGTTCGATACATCTGCAGAAAATGAAACCCTATCCTTACTACTAACTAAGGTCCCCTCCAAAAGGGTTAGGCGTCCTTTTGTGCCTAATCAGCCTGATATCCAGAAAAAGGTGGCTGGAGCTGGGGCGACAGTGCCGGTCTGAGCGAGGAGCGACGCCCCGATGCCAAAATGAGGCCCGCGCTGCAGCGGGGCACCATCTTGAGACACGGAATGCGGTCCCAGTGAAAGGACGTATGCATGTTAGTCAGCGTGGAGCCCCAACCAGTCAAGTATTGCAACATGGATACGTCAGCAGCGTGCACTGTATAGTGCAGGCTACGTGGTGGAAGTCATGTGATGCAACCTGTGATGTGCAAGTTGGGTGGTGCAAGTTAAGTGGTGAATGCCCTGAGGTGTGAGCTACATCGTGTAGGTATGGATGCGGTGCAGGCTAGCTGGTGGTATAAGCTGTGTGGTATGACCTATGTGATTTACTGGGAATGTTGCATGCTGTGCGGTGCAAACCATGTGGTAACATTTGTGTGGTGAACTCTGCTCGTGAAGGTCGAAGTCGTCAACATGCATATAACGGCGCACCGGGCTCGGGGGCCGAGGGTTGGAACCTCGACCACAAATGTGGGGACTGGGGCCCAGGCCCGCATCTGGGAGACTGAAAATCGGCTTGGGGATCCCTCAGACAGCAATCCCGGCGGCCCCAGGCGGTCTCGAGACACCCCCAAACGCCGTCCAGGGGTCTCTGGCGACACTCACTGCGTTGTAAACTGCCCCGGAGCCCCCCAAGACGCCCCAAGAGGCCTTTAAGATGCCGCCCAAGACGTGGCTTCGGTGTTCTGACGATGGTTGGCATCCTCCAGGGTGTGATGGGCTTGTTTTCCACCACCACCATAAGTTGGAGGAGGAGGAGGAGGAGGAGGAGGAGGAGGAGGAGGACGGACAGAAGGAGGAGGAGGAGGAGGAGGAGGAGGAGGAGGAGGAGGAAGACCCCCTCCCCCTCCAACTTCTGGTGGTGGTGGTGGAAAACACGCCCATCAGGGTGTGTCCCCGATGCGGTTGGGGTCGCCTGCCGCCCCCGCACACTGCGGGAGGGCCGAGAGAGGTCCCGTCCTGGAGGGGCTGCGCGGCTTCGGGGCGGCGTGCGTGCAGATCCCGCAGGTCGTGGAGGAGCCGGCCCCACGGCAGCCTCTCTCTTGTATTAAGGCGGGCCTGTCCCTCTACAGGAGGAATACCCGAAAATAGTAAGACAATAGTCTGGGGACATTTGTTTACCTGTTTTGACAATGTTGGTGCATGTTTTGACTATTTTTTCATGTTTCATCAAAATCCCCCCTGTAGGGGGACATGCCCGACCTAAGTCTTGTAGTATCTGGGCGAAGGCTCGGGACGATCGAAATGGGTACGGAAAGAATGGGTACGAGGCCCCACCGCAAATTCTGCTCATTCTGAACGTGGCTCGCTGTCCGCGTGGCCGCGAACGTATTTCTGTGAAGACCGAGAGCCGCCTGCCCAGCAGCGGCCGCTGTCGGTTTGGGGCAGCCTTCGGCGTTGGGCATGGTACCCATGTTTTCCGTACCCATGTCGGGTGTGAGAAGGCAACAGCTACCACCAGGGTGTTGAAGTAAGGACCGCTTTAGGGTCAGGAGGGAGAAAGAGGAGAAAGAGAGGAGGAGGAGGAGGAGGAGAAGGAGGAGGAATGAGGGGGGAGGAGGAAGGAGGAAGGAGGAAAAAGGACGACAAGAGGAGAACATGAAGGAGGACGGAGGAGGGGAGGAGAAAGGAGGCGGAGGAGGAGGAGGAGGAGGAGGAAAGCGGGGCTCGAGTCTTCGGGCCGCTCCTTGGCCTACACGGCCCACCCGCACGGCAAGGACGGGCCACCCTCCCAGGGAACACCCCTCGCATCCCTGCCTCCTCGGTCCGTCCCTGGCCACCTCCGTTGGCCGCGCCCTGCTCGAAGAGCTCAGGACTGGGCGTCCAGAGCCCGTGCGGAGGAGGAGGAGGAGGAGGAGGAGGAGGAGGACGAAGAGGAGGAGGAGGAGGAGGAGGAGGAGGAGGAGGAGGAGGACCCCCTCCCCCTCCAACTTCTGGCCGCGCCCCGCTCGAAGGGCTCAGGACTGGGCGTCCAGAGCCCGTGCGACCTTTACCCGCGCCTCCGTGTGAGACGGGCCGACGGTCATGTCGTGGAGCTTCTGTGTGTGTGTGTGTGTGTGCGGCCTTGGCCCGCCGTGGCCGCAGAGCAGCCCCACTCGCTCCTCCCTGCGCGTGCCTCGCAGCACGAGGACGGTGTACACACTGTTCATTCCTAATGCTTCGAAAGTTCTTTGCAAGACCCTTTCATTCCTAATTGTTCTATCCTGGGCCTGCTTCGAAAGTTCTTTGTTTTTGTTGGGGGGCAAGACCCTTTCATTCCTAATTGTTCTATCCTGGGCCTCTTCCTGGCCACCAAGGGGGCCAGGAACAACCGGTAAGGAGCACGATCAGAAATGAGCACGATCAGAGATGGACGACGTGTACCCAGGCAGCCGACGTACCAGAAGAAACAGGGCCAAGCTTTTGTTGCTCCCCGTTCCGGGGCCTCTGGGGGCCCTCGCTGGGCCCCGCGACCGCCAGCAAAAGGGGGCTGGGGATGAAGAGTTGGCCCTCCCAGATCATTGATTCCTGGAATTTTCCAGGTGCGACCGGTCGCGACGGTAGCGTTCAGGGTGGGTCGGTAATATCGGTAGCGGTCGCGGCAATATCGGTCGCGGTCGCCTTCGGTAACATGTCGGTCGCGGTCGGTAGCACGTCGGTCGCGGAGACGGTCGCGGTCGGTAACAAGTCAGTCGCGGATCGGTCTGGGTTCGTCGACAGCAGGGGGGGGCGATCTGACAATGAAAGAAAAGCTTCGTCTGACCGTACCAGGCTCGGTCTGACAATCATCTGACGTCAGGTCATTGTCAGATCAATGTTCTGACAATGATCTGACGTCATGCGATTGTCACATCGGTGTGGGCAGACGACTTGCTTGAGCTTTCTCTCCTTCTTGTCCCTTTCACGTCCTTCCCCTCCGTCCTTCCTCCTCGTCCTCCTCCGTCCCTCTTGCGCATCCTGCCCCCCCCCCTCCCGCCTCTGCGTGCCGACTGTCGTTATCTTCCAAATCCTCCCCCACCGCCCCTTCTCTTCCCCTGCTACCCGACCGCCCTTTCTCAGCTGCTCCAGCTCCTCCCTCCTCTATTTCTTCGTTGGGCTCAAGCGCCATGGAGGTGGACGCCACGTGCCTGTGGATTGAGCACGATGGGGGGCCCGCCCCCCCAGGGCTCGGGATCCCATGGCGCGTCGTGGAGGTTGGGGAGGTCTCGCCAGGCCTCCCCATGACCAGCGGGCGCAACCGCAAGCCGAGCAGGAGCTGGATCGCCCCTGCTCTGCTGCAGATGACACCCCGCCCGTGGGCGGGGTGTCCAAATTTTATCGCGGTCACTGGCTATGGAGGCCAGTGGCCCCGAGAGGGCTGGAAGGTGGACGAGGGGTGGGCGCCAGGTCGGCCTGGGGCGCTCACCTTGATGCCCGTGCGGTGCTCCGAAATTCTGATGTCGTGGAGCGAAGACGGCCGCGTGCGGGTGCAGTGGTACGTGCGGGTGCAGTGCCTGCCCTACCGCTTGTACTTCATGCGGCGCTGAGGGTTGTGCGGGATTAAAAATTCTTCCCTTCCTCCATTATTGTCATCCCTCCTCTTCTTCCATTTCCCCCTCAGATTCGTTTTCCCCGCTTGGAAAGGAGGGAGTGATGAGGAGGTGGGGATCTCGGGACTGAGCGGGACAGGGAGACAACTGGAGATCTCGGCACTGATAGATATACACATACATCTATAGATACATATATATATATATATATGTATATAGGGGGGGGAGAGAGAGAGAGAGAGAGAGAGAGAGAGAGAGAGAGAGAGAGAAGAGAGAGGCGTGAGAGAAGGAAGGAGCTGAGAGCTGAGAGAGAGGGGGGGGGGAGAGAGAGAGAGAGAGGAGAGAGAGAGAGAGAGAGAGAGAGAGAGAGAGAGAGAGAGAGAGAGAGAGAGAGAGAGAGAGAAAAAGAAAGACAACGCTTTGCCATGGGGCCGAAGGCTTCTACGAAGCCCCGCAGGTCGGCTGTCGACCTGTAAAATGACAGGGGGGGAGGATGGACAGGGGAAGGGGGAGAGGGTTCCCAAGGAGGAGGATGGGGGGGAGGAGAGGGGAAGAAAGGACAAGGAGGAGGGGGGAAAGAGAAAGGGCGATTACGAGGAGGAGAAGGAGCGCCGCTAAGCCATTTTGGCCAAGGGCACTCTGCCCCCGCCCCTGCGCGGGCTCTTCGCCCCCTCCAGCGGACGGCATGTCCGCGGGCGCCGAGTTTGACGGCGTTTCCCCCCTGGGCCGCCCCTTGTTAAAGTACATCGCGCTGGAGGGGGTGAAGAGCTCATTCAATTTAGGGCACCCTTCCTTTCTTCACAAGGACCACGCGGTCTTCGGCCCAAGCATCGCGGCCATGGACGGCCTGGTGGTTGGCAGTTTGAACCACGCCCGCTTATTTTCCCTCTGCCAACCCTCCCGATGGCGGGGGGGGGGGGGGCTTCAAGAATCAGAGGAGGCTTTCCTACCCCCCTCCACGATCCAGAGGAGCCTCCTCTGAATCTCGTTGTTCATTAGTTGTATGTATCCTTCGCCCTCCCTGCCCCCTCCTGCCCCAGGTGGCAGCGCTGCTGGTAGCCAGCCCAGAGGCCGAGATCCCCTTCGTGCCCCTGCGCACGGCGTGCGCAGCGGTGCTGGACAGGCTGCCCGACGACGACGATGTTGAGGGCGATCGTTTTGAGACGTTCGTTTTTATTTTGGTACCCCGTGCGCGTTCAGATATTATTACGCGTTATGTTCCCTCTCTGTTTCTCGAGCTTTTTCAAATCTTCAGTCCGTTGCCCATCTGGGGCGGAGGTCTAGGGCGAAGGAGGATGATGGGGGGAGGCGGGAGGAGAAGGAGAAGGATGGGCGACGATGAGGGCGGGGAGGAGGGGGGAGAAGGCGGAAGATCAGAAGGGATGATGAGGGAGAGAGGTCTGGGAAATAAGGAGGGAGGAGCAAGTTGGAAGCGATCGGAACGTGGGGGGGAATTCAAATCTGACGACCGTCTGATGTGAGACGATTGTCAGGTTGGCAATTTTCAATCTGACGGTCATATGACGCCAGACGTTTGCCAGGTTCGAGGTTCAACTCTGGCGACCATCTGACGTCATGCGATTGTCAGGCTGGCAGGTTCCAATCAGACGGTCTGGTTGGAACAACCCAGCCTGACAATCGCATGACGTCAGATGGTTGTCAGATTTGAACCGCAAGCCTGACAAACGTCTGACGTCAGATGACCGTCAGATTGAAAGTTGCCAACCTGACAATCGTCTGACATCAGACGGTCGTCATATTTGAACCGCAAACCTGGCAAACGTCTGACGTCAGATGACCGTCAGATTGAAAATTGCCAACCTGACAATCGTCTGACATCAGACGGTCGTCAGATTTGAATTCCCCCCACGTTCCGATCGCTTTCAACTTGCTCCTCACTCCTCGCCCTCCCCGGTCCCGCTCGAGAAGAGAGCGGGCTCGCTCGCGGACAAGCTGAGCTGCGTCCTCAAGCACTGCAGAAGATTGCGAGACAACGCAGTTCGCCGCCGCCAGGCGCGCGGGGGGCCGAGGGCAACGTCGACGACGGAGACCTTCACGACGACGATGTCGCCGACGACAGGGATTGCAACGATGAGGTGCACGGCTAAAGACGTCGACGACGAACCCGATGACGACGAACGTCGTGGACGACGGTGGCGGCGGCGATATGGTTGCGGCGTCGTCGTCAACGCCAAAAATCATGGTGGTGATCGCGATGGCAGTGGAGACAGTTTTTGCGACGGCGTTGACGACGATTATCGCAAGGCCCAGGCTATGATAGGGAGTGGCACGGGAGGTGGGTAGCGGTAGAAGGAGGCGCAGGAGCGGGGGAGCGGTAGGAAGGGGTAGGATGGGGTATGAAGGGAGGAGTGGTCGGAGGTGTGGAAGGGTGCGCAGAGTAGGGATTGGTAGGAGGGATTGGCAGTGGATACAAAGGGAATGGTAGGAGGGGGGGCGCTGCTAGGCGTTGACGGGCTGCCTCGCCGCCGAGCGCGAGAAGTTGGTGCGCCTGTGCAACCAGATGGGCGTTGACACATCCGAGTGCATGGCCAGGACGTGCACTCCGATTTTTTCTTTCATCAGGAGGCACCCTGGATGAGCAGACGGTTCAGAATGGGGAGGGGGGCAGGGATAATGGAGGAGGGGGGTGAGGGCGATGCTGATAAGGAGGCTGATGAGTAGGAAGGCAGGGGGGACGAGGAGGTCGAGGAGAAGAGGGAGGAGGAGAGATATTCAAGACAAACCGTCCACGCGCATACATCAATGCGCATAGGCATGTCATACATCCACGTGCATAGGTATGCGCGCGTTGAACGACACACATCAGCGATTAGGAAATGGAAAACGGAGGAGGAAGGGGTGGACAAGAGGAGGAGGAGTTAGATGCCCTTTAAAATGACAAGGACAAGGACATGGATACGGAGGAGGAGGGCGCGGGGGCAGGGGCAGGACGGTCATCTTATTAAGATCAATTTTCTCTTGAGCCTGCCGCCACCTCCGCGTGCGCGGAGACTGCCTTCGACGTCGCCCCCGCCCACGCCGCGCGCGCCGCTGACGCCTGCGCCCGCGACTCCACCGCCGCGCCCTTCAGCGACCAGATCATTTCTCCAGGACCTACTCTTGATTTCTCACGCTTTGCGGCGCAACGCAGCAGATAGGAGAAACTATGAGAGAGGAGGAAGGGGCGGGCGGATGAGGATAATGATGGAGAAGGACGATGGAAGGGGGCGGGGGGAGGAGGAGAAGCATGGATGACGAGGAGGGCGGGGGGGGGGGAGGATGAAGAGCAGAAGGGACGAGCAGGGAGAGAGGTCTTGGGGAGAAGGAGGGATAGCAGGGGGAGGGCGATCGGGACAGTGGGAGGATCTGAAACCCAAGCAAATCGCGACTGTTGATCTGATGATCGTCTGACGTCAGATGGTTGTCAGGTTTGCGGTCCAAATCTGACGACCATCTGACGCCGGATGATCGTCAGATCTGCAGGCTGGCACGCCCTGGTCGTTCGCGTTCGCCGCAGCCCCTGCTGATTATCAAAAGCCTTCCCGAACGTAGCAAGAGGAGAAGGAATCTCTCTCTCTCTCTCTCACTCTCTCTCCATCCCCCCCCTGGGCGTGAAGCGATCTAGTGCGCGTCTCCGTTCCTTCCCCTGCTTCGCCCCCCATTTCCTTTGGTCGCCTGCCTCCTCCTTCTTCCCGCTCCACCTCCACCTTGCCCCCATTCCCTGCTCATCCCTTTCGGTTTCCTCCTCGCCGCCCCGTCCGACCGCTTGCTTCGATGTAAGAACGCCCCGAGGATGGTGAACCCCTTCCATTGACAGCCCCCGACAGCTCTGTGGTCGGCGACGACAATGACGACTTCGCGGTCGGCCACGACCATGACGACTTCTCGGGCGGCGGCGACCATGGCGACTTCGCGGGCGGCGACGGCCCCCGCGCCTCCTCGGGCGGCGACGACAATGACGACTTCGCGGGCGGCGACGAGCCATCCGACATCACAGACGAGCAGTTGCAGGCGCCTGCAGTTTTCCCCTGGGGGGCGGGGTGGGCGGGCGGGGCTGGGCGGGGGCGGCGCTGCGCGCGCGTGCGTTGCGCGGGGGCGGGGGCGGGTGGGGGGTTGGGAGTGGGTGGGTGGGGGGGGGGTGGGGGTGGGGGGAGGGGGGGGGGGGGGGTGAAGGGGGGGGGGGGGGGGGGGGGGGGGGGGGAGGTGGGGGGGGGGGGGGGGGGGTGGGGGGTGTAGGCGGTTGGGGGGGTGGTGGGGGGTGGGGGGGGGGGGGGGGGTGTGGGGGCGAGCGCGCGCGATGTAGAGAGAGAGAGAATAGAGAGAGAGAGAGAGAGAGTAGTGAGCGAGCGGGAGAGAGAGAGAGCAAGAAGAGAGAGAGAGAGAGAGGGAGAGAGAAAGGAGAGGGAGGAGAGAGAGAGAGAGAGAGAGAGAGAGAGAGAGAGATCGAAAGATAGAGAGAGAGAGAACAACAACAAAAGAGAGAGAGAGAGAGAGAGAGAGAGAGAGAGAAAGAGAGAGAGAGAGAGAGAGAGAGAGAGAGAGAGAGAGAGAGAGAGAGAAAGAGAAAGAGAAAGAGAAAGAGATGGGGCGGAGAGGGGGGGTGATCGAGGAGGAGCACCCTGGTGTAATCCTTCTTGCTTCCAAGCGACGCGCGAAGCCAGCGACAGGCTGCTCGCGCCCGAAAACGCATGCCAGTATAAGCCCAGGGAGGCAACACACGAAACCTTCTCAAGCTAAAAATAAAGCGACTGTTCAAAAATATCGCGCCCCCGCCCCCCCCTCCCCCTCACACCACACACATGCGCACTACACACACGCGCACGCACCCCACTACACACCACACACACACACTACACACTGGGACACACACGACACGAAAACAGCATAAAAGCAACGGAAGGGACGGATCATATCACACTTCTCCCACGGGGTTCGACGTGACCTTGCGCGCTTCAAGCTCAGGCCAGCCCCCCCCCCGCCCCCCTACTCCCTCAAAAACGTCAAAAGGCTCCAGCCTCGACACCCCCTCCAGCCCCCCCCCCGCCTCCCTCCCCCAAATTCCATTCCCAAGCGGCACCCGCCCAACCCCAATTTCAAGCAACCCCGCCTTCCCCCATTGCCCAATAGTGGCCTCTCTTGGCGGCATCCAGCCACTCTGCCAGTTTACCGGAGCCCTCCCCTCCGAGCCCTCCCCCCGCCCCGCGCCGTCACTCATGTTTGTCGAATGTGATGGTTGGAATTGAGGCCCTCTCCCACCCGCCATCCCCACTCCTCCAGACCCGTAGCCATTTGGGCTTCACGTTCTCAGGCGACGGCGGGCCCCGCCACCGCGCGCGCGCACCATGGAGGTGCTGCATCCCGATGGCGCGCCGCCCATCGCCGCTGGCGCCTCCGACGGCTTGTCGCCAACTGGGCCCCTGGCGCCACAGTCGACTGTCTGCGGTTCTCGCCCGAAGTGCGTTGCCGCGGCACGGCGCCAGCTGTGTACCGCCAGCGGCATGATGTCAGGAGAATTCACGCTCAGCCGAGGCGAGATGTCGCCGATGAGCATGCCGTCTGGATCGGACACTGAGGTGGATGGCGAGGCCAAGAAGGAGCCCGCGGAGGCTTCAGAAGATCAGCACCCAGCGGCAGAAGCGGCCGAGTCGGAGCCCGGTGATGATCTAGAAGAAGATGATCCGCCAGCAGAATAGGAGGATCCGCCATCGTCGCCAACTCTACCTGCTGATGCTGCGCCCTTGTCGCCCACCTCGCCCGCGGCGGAGCCCGAAGGCGCGCTTGCACCTCCAATTGGCCACGCCGACGAGGACATCGACAAGGGCGCGCCGACTCCGCCCCTGGCCATCGGCGATGTTCCGAAGCCGAGCCCTCCCAAGCGGGCGGCGTCGTCAGCAGCTGGCTCATCGTCGCCCGCGCCGCACGCGGTGTCGACGCCGCCCCCGAAGAGGCAGAAGATCGTCAAGAAGTCCCCTTCGAACAAGTGCTGCGAGCTCTACGCGCCCCAGCCGACCGACGCGGCGACGCCCGTCGAGGCTGGACAGTTTGCGTTGTTGGTGGTTCCACCGTTTCGTGTCTGGGGTAGGAGGAGGTTCGGGCCTGTGCAAATCAGAGGGGGGAACCGTTGAATGTAATATCCACGTGCGTTCTCGATGCTTCCAGGTCCGTAGGCAGCGCCAAAGTTTTCACACCAGGGCCTGGGGCCCCATGGTCGGGAACGTTTTCATCCTTTTGAAAACCTAAAGGTGATTTAGAGTTCGCCGAGAAGCTTGATTTGCGCAGCACCCTGTATGCTCGCCCACTCCAAGCCACGGTGACGGCCAACAACGCAGAATTGCTGCAGGTTCCGCTCGCTCCTGAGCCCGACGTGGAGGAGGTGACCCCCCCGCCTGTGCCGTTCCCGAAGGTCGAGGTCCCCTGCCCGAAGGCCGTGACTGATGTGTCACTTCGCGCCAGGAGGTCCGTTTCATCGCTCATGAGCGTGGCGAGCCCGCCGGAGCGCGCCAGCCCCATCTCCGCGGGCGGCGGCGACAACGACGAGGATGAAGAGCTCGCAGCGCTCGCGCGCTGGATGAAGTACGGGCAGATTTCAGGCTAGGAGCACTAGGGCTGCTGCACGTGCTGCACGTTGCTGCACGTTGCTTGTGCCGCGGCTGCTGTCGCACTGTCAGGTTCACAGCGGTCCTCGCTTGAGGCTACATCAATTCCTGATTGCCTCGTGCCTGCGCTTTTGACAAGCAACATTCTGGGGCGGCTGTTTGGGGAAGCCAGAAGGAACTTGCATCAGAGACCAGTCCCTGCGCTCCTCCAGCGCATTCCATCATTCATGCGTTACTACCCCATCCGCTTTCAAATGTCTTACATCCTTCAATGTCTATCGTCTGATCACCATTATCCTCCCCATCCTCCTCCTCGTCTTCCTATCTGCGTGCAGCCATGCCCCCGTCTTTCTCCATTGCTCTACGATCGATCTCCCCAACCTGCCGCCAATGCATCATGACCCCCGCCTTGCCCATGCGCACCCTTCCCCCGCCCCCGCCCCCTCCCCGCGCGCTGCCCCTCCGCCCCCTTCCCACGCGCTGCCCGCGCCCCCTTCTTTTTTTGCATGCGGGGGCGCCCCCCCCCCCCCCCGCCCTGCCGCCCCCTCCCCCCCCCCCCATATCGGCGCCCCCCCCCCCCCCCCCGCCCCCCCCGCCCCCCCCCCCCCCCCCCCCCCCCCCCCCCCCCCCCCCCCCATAGCAGCCGACATGGGCGATGCGCCGAACCGAAAACGAAGCGAACCCTTCGAAACCGAAGCAGCCCTCGATCTCGAAGACGAGCCGAACGCATCCAAAAGGAAACGAACCGACGGAACGTAAAACTAGCCGCGTCCCGAACACGAGCTCCCTTTCCAAACCACGCCCCCACGCCGTTCTGACCTCCCCCCCCTGCGCGAGCGAGGCGCTCGCCGCGTGGATGAAGAGCGGCCACCGCGAGTCCGACGACGAGGCTGACTTGATGGAGACAGCCCGCGGCTCGAAGGTGGTCAACCCGAAGAAGAGAGCGCTCAAGGCTCGCAGGGAGGGGGGCGCGGGGACACCTTCGAGGGAAGAGGGATGAGGGAGGAGGAATAGGAAGAGAGAACGGAATGAGGGGGGAGGAGGAGAGGGAAGAGGGAAGGAATGAGGAGGAGGGAAGAAGGAAGAAGGAAGAGGAGGAGGAGAAGGAGGAGGGATGAGGAGGAGGAGAAAGGATATCCCCCCCTCATCATCCTTCGCGCTCTCCCGCCCCCCCCCCCCCCCCCCCTGCTTCTTCTCTGCCCTCATCTCCTCCTTTTTCCCATTCTCCCTCCTCCATCCCCTCCTTCCTCCGCGCCCAATCCGCCCCCTCCCCCCTCCCGCCCCCCCCCCCCACGCCCCCCCCCCCCCCCCCGCCCCCGCCCCCCCCCCCCCCCGCCCCCCCCGCCCGGTCCGCCCCCCACCCCACCCCCCCCCCCCACTCGTCCTTCTCCTATCCTTCCTTCCTCCTCTTCTTTCCCGCCCATTATCGCCGGGTGGCCCCGCTTGAAGACCGAACCAATATGCCTCCAAGAAGGAAGGCCATAGAGGGAGGTCCAAGAATGCCAAGAAGGCCGAGGTCACGGGCCCCAGCAAGGCCAAGACCACCCCCGAGAAGCCCAAGCGGGGGGCCCACGGCAACGGCCTGCTGAGAACCTTGGCCCACCCGTCCTTGGGCGACCTCAAGACAGCGTACGCAGCGACGAAGTCATACATCTGCTTCACAGACGCCGATTCGGGGAAGCCCAGGCTCTTTTTAGAGATAAGTGAGTCCCAGTCGGCCCAGCACGCTCTTTTGATCCAGCGTGTTCTGAAAGCTTCGTGTCAGGGGGCAGGCCTTGACAAGGCCGGAGCCCTCGAGCTGCGCAGGAAGCTGCTCGGCAAGTAGGCCTTTGCATTCTTGAATATTCGGGTGATGAGTGTGGCCAATAGGGAAGGGAATGCGGTCGGTGGTCCCAGTTGAGCCAGACCCCCGCCCCCCGCCCCCATTGCCCCCCCCCCCCCCCCAAGAAATGCACGGTCGGGGTGCGGATCGACGCGTTCGGGGGGCGGGGGGGGGGCCGTTCGAATTCGCCACCTCCCTTGCCCCCATATGTGTAGACATCGCGGGGGCGGGGTGCAGATGCAGGGCAGGGTTCACATGGGAACACCTTTTTGGAGAGGATCCAGATTCTGCGACGTTGGGCCGACAGCTCTGCTCGCCCGTCGCATGCACGTTCACGCACTCTGTATGCTGTACGCGGCTGTGCGCGGCTGCTTTTGAGGACCAGGGTTTCAGACTTTGTTCTAGGTCATGCGAAGCCATCGCTGGGAGCTTCGCAAGTCGGCGGGGGCGCCATTTCGGCAGAAAGCATATCGGTCGCAAGGCTCCCACTTCCTGGCTGACGACTCCCATTCCCCCCGCCTGCCCTCTCCCCTAACAGCCCTTTTTCCGCCCGCCAGCCCTACTGCCATTCTTCCCCCCAACAACTTTCTCCCTCCCACCTACCACTTCCTCCCGCCAACCCCTCCCGACACCAAACCAGTCTCGCCCACTTGTCCGCGTGGGTCGACCTTGGTTTATTGCTTGCTATTCGAACCCGCTGGTCATCTACCATGAACACCCCCTGCCGAATTCACCCCGCCCTCTCCATGTTTGCCCCCCCTCCCCTTCCTGTTCATTCCCCGTGCATCGCGCTCGCGCGTGTCTACATTGACCCTGCAAGTCACCTGGGCGACAGCGAGCCGAAACCGTCACCGAGTCGTTGACTGAGGCGCCAATGCCAACGATTAACCAAGTCGTCTCAGGAGCGGGGAGGAGGAGGTGGAAGGCGAGGAGGAGGACTATAAAGATAATGACCAGGGGAGAGGAGGGCATGACCATCTCTGAGATGCAGAATTTCTAGTAATGCCCTCATGGGCATGGGCATGTTCTGCCAAACAAAAACAGATTTCTGGGTGGTCGTTTTTTTGTTCGACAGCAAGTGCGTATTGGTTGGCATTTAGTCGTTGCGTGTAGTGTCGGGTATTTCCCTCGAGGCAGCGCGCCTGTTCGCCTGGTCGATCGAATTGTTGAATGGGTTGTGCGCTACTGGCTACCTACCAGACCACCCCAACCCAACCCAAAGACCCGAATTTCGGGTTGGGAAGGTAAGGGTTCCACATATGTTTCTTCCATGTGTCCCGACCCCCCCCCACCACTGGAAATCGATTGTAAATCTGAGCCTTCGGGTTGGGTTTGGGTGGTTCTGTGGGTGGTGAACCATGTTGGCAAGTCCACAGTGATAGATGTCTGCCTATTTCAAGTGTGAGTCAAGAGCCCCTCTGTCAGCCCATGAGTAACCAGATGGTGACCGTCGCTTCTTGAGGTCACTGCTGAAGGTCCTCTCGTGTGTACATCGCACATTTGGCAATCAGCATTCATGAATCCCGCCGCTTATTCCACACGGCAAACCATGCAAGACATGTAATGTCAAGGTAGACATGTGACCACAGAGAATGAATGTGTCACATATAAGTTAGCAACATTGTATGCATGTTATTGTTTTTAGTTAAAGCATATCAGAATACTTCATCATATTTCGTGTTAAACAATGGTAAATGTGTCAGCGTTGGTCCGCAACGGTGCAAACAGTACGGCGAACAAAAACACACATCGATCTGACAATGATCTGACGTCAGACCATTGTCAGATCGTAGATCTGACAATGGCCTGAAGATGGCCTGACGTCAGGCATTGTCAGACATCATGTCTGACAGTGGTCTGACGTCAGATCATTGTCAGACCGTTGTGTGTATTATGTGTTTAATTATATTTGTGTTTTATGACATAATATCTTATTTGAAGGTCGTTTCCTTGTCCATCCTCACAAGTACGTGCATGATAGTAATGGATGTTGCGCATGTATATCCAAACATGTTCATGCAATCATGAATCACAATTGCACGACCATGTGATGTGATCTCGCGCGCCAGCCTTGAGTGATCGACGGTGCGAGGGCTTCGGATCGACTTCGGGGTGTCGCGCGGCGGCCATGGCGAAAGCCATGACAGCTGCTGGCAAAGCTGGCGCCAAGCGAGCTGCTGCGGCCAAGCCGAAAGCAGGGGCCACACGCGGCGTCAGAAAGGAAGTCGTGACAAATCTGTTTCCGAGAACCCTGGCCCGAGAAACCCTGGCCCGATGAACCTTGGTCCGAGAAAACTCGCGCAGGGACACCCCGATCCGAGAATCGATCGGCCATGATTTGCTAACCATCCGATCGCAGGACTTGTTGAAGACGGGCGTGGCGGTTTCTACTGGGAAGCCGCCTGGGCAGTAAAGTTCACCCATTCTCGCGTTCAGCCTATCTCAAAATCGCCCATGGTTTTCGTTTGCTTGGAAACGGGGCAATGGATTGCAAGACACTGCTGGGGGACGTGGCGTCGTTATTGGACCGCGTTCTCGGATTGGTCACCACCCCAGACATCGGCAATCAATTCACCCCCGACCTCGCCCTCCCAGGGTAACACTCGCC